GTACTGAGCATGTCATCCTGGGAAAGAAACGATCTATCTTGGGAAACAAGTTAAACCCTTAAAAATCGTAAGTGGAAAAAGAATTGATTAGATAGCAACAGGACTAAAAATTACAGACGCTATAGAGAGCATGAATGGTTTAGGTGTTACACAGTAAAAAGGTAAGGGCTTTCCTGTTAAATGAGCAGGCAGCACCGGAAGCAAAGAAAATACTTTTCCCATTTACAATACAAAGTTACAAAGATTTGTTGTCAGATGATGTCATGGAGGCTAGACACAGACAGACTCAAAGGGGGTTAAACAAATTAACGAAGGACAGATCCATTAGTGATTATGAAGCAAGATGGGCCCAAATCCAGCTATGGCTAAGAACAGCCCTTAACTGCTGACTGCCAAAAGAAGGGGGGATCCTTCCATACCTATCTTTTCCCTTGTAATTTTGCCCCCCGCATCTGCTACAAGCCCCAATCAGACACAGCATATTGAACTAGGCAGACCAATATAGTCTGACCCACTAAGTCTTTTTTCTTGTTCTCACAGGAGATTGCAGCCACAATCTTTTTTGCTTGACTATTAAAAAATGTTCTGCATGGCAAAGGCTTGTAATTTCTTTCTCTAAGATGTCTCCCAGGCTAAACAGACATCCTTGCCCTACAGTGTGCTTCCGCCCAGCCCTTACAGGACAACGGACAAGCTCAGACAATGTAGGGTCTGAGCTCGTGCTGAGATCACAACAGGTCAAGGAGGTGTCACCAGGGGACTCCTGGGTGGCCTGAGGGTCAGAGGGGACGGCATAACTGCGACAGTCCTCCCAAGCAGAACTGGAGCTCTCCTCCCAGCAGCCTTCCTCCAGCAATAATGAAAACTCAATGCCCAAGAACCTGACTCTACCCACACAGTGGCTGCAAGGGATAAATGATGACCATTTTTGTTTCCACTGAACAAATAAGCCTTCACTTCCTTTAAAACGCAGCATCTGAGAGAGAAGGGGATCAGAAAACACCAGAAATCCTATGATAATTAATAGGAAATAGAGCCATCAGGAACTCCACTCTAAGCCTGGAGTGCCCTCTAGGGGTAAAAGCCTGATAAAAGCTACACACCCCAAAATACCTCCTTCGGAAAAGCCCTGGACCAAACTAAACCTTTCCTTAACAAAGTCATGGTGAGGCTTCATTTAGCCTGTATTTGCCCGTACAAAAAAAAGAATTATTTACCCATGGTTGGCTGACTTCTTCTCTTTGTCCTATTTTTTCTCTGATCCACAAGGCTGCTGTGATGGTAACACTGCCCAAGGCCTTCCTTTGGGAAAAGGACTTTATTCTCCATGAATACAGTGCCTGAGCAATGTTGAGACAGGGATTCCTTGACATTACAATAATAATCACATTACAAAGATAACTCACGAGACTGAGCACACCCCTAAACTTTGGCCCAAACATCTTGCCAGTGCAGAAGCCTGGCTCTGATGGTCGCACAAGGAAAGCACGCAGGGACACCGGTTTCCGCAAGCCCTTGCAAACCCACTCAGTGCTTGTAGCAGTGAGTCTAAAGCTTTTCTTACAGAGGGCCAGGTAACTGGAGGAAGGCAAGACTGAGGGCGGCTTAACAAAACTCCCCTCTAACACTGTATGTCTGTGCTCAGTCCTGTACACCAAGAAGCTATGAGTGAATGCAATCACCTTTGTTATCATGCTCTCAGAGCTTAAGCAGGACCTGCTAGTTTACCAATTTTGGCTGCTTGTCCTCTCCCCACCTCGATTCCCATGGAACAGAAGAACAAAGCCACATGTGCTGACAAAATATTCCCAGAGGGAGCAAACGGGAGAGGGCTCAGCTACCAGAGAGAACTAAATGGACTACAATGGAGCAAATTTCACACAGGGCAAAATTAAGCAGTCAACTGAGCTTCCCTCTTTGCATGTGTCTCTCTGTCCCCAGGACTGAAACAATGCTGGTGGTTTATGTCATACTGTGTTTGCCTTCACGCCATTACCAACGCATCTGGGAGTAAGAGTCATAACCCTTCTGTTGTAACCATAGAATAAAATGTGCAATAAAGATGGCTCCTCTTCCTTTTAGTCTTTGAATCAGCAAGCAGGAACATTTACAGAAGCTACATAAATATAACCAGGAAGCTAATTTTGCAGCTGCTTGTGTATCTGTACTACAAGTCAATTTAGGGAGTCACATTTACTCAGGCAAGGACAAGACATGCCATGTCGCTTATGTGTGCTGTCACAGATAACCAACTTGAACCTGGGATATCAATGCTGATAATGAACTGCTTCCCAAAGAACAAGGATTATTTACAGGTATTATCTGGTGAAAAGTTTCAGCACTATTGGTTTTAAGAACGCTGCAGACAAATCCTAAGCAGAAAGAGAGCAACAGATGCTGCTAACTTCAATATGTTTGAGAGGAGATATTTTCATTGCAGTTTTTAAATCCAGTGAAGTCTGGAAAAATTACTCTGATGAAACAAAACATAGGCAAACCCCAGCTCAAACACACTGCACAAAGCTCTGAGTCAGAGATGACCAACCTTTACTTCCTAGCCACCAGCTCACTTTGTGCAACAGGTTACACAAAAAGCACAGTTCCTGGAAGTAGCACATGCCTAAAGCAACGTCCTGCCAGGTGCTGCTAAAAAGCTGGATCTTGTCCACGTGCTCTTCCTGTCCAAGCAACCTCCCCACCACCAGATCACAAGAAAAATCTCCGTTGCTAACAGAGCTGCAATTCCTGAGCTATCATCATAAATATGCCAAAAATGTGCCTTCATAAGTAAGAATTGTGACACATCAAATGAAGTTTTCCCAGAGAGATCACGTTTGAGTTAAGCTGTTTATGCTACGTTTTTGCACAACGGTATGTTAAGCACTTTCAAACACAGCATGTTACACAGCATGTTACACAGCACTGCATTTCAGTTTGGGCCAGCGGAGATGCTTTTACCAAAATCACGCATGTGGGCGCAATTAACAACGTTCTCAGGCATTAGCTGCCCTGGTTTCCACTCCACACAATAGGCCTTTGTTTGAAGCCTGGCACTGCATGGAGAGAATTAGAGCACGGTACCAGAGGAAGCCTTGCCAGCAGATGTTTTGACTTGCAGAACATGCAAGTTCTCCCTGGTTTTAATGCTCACGTTGCATCCATGAATTAATGGGGAGTTAAGAGATTTCTTCTCTTTCTTCATACATTGCCAATGCTACCTCTTCCCCAGAAAAAGCAAAGATGGTCTTCCTGTCTCCAAAGCCCACTGAGTCCTTGACATCTCTTCTGATGCTGTCAGTAGAAGACATTCTGTCTGAATGATCCTTTTCATTCCTTTTACAGCATGGGCCCCTGATACCTGAGCAGAGGGCCGCCAGCACATTACAACATTCACCAAGCAGCAGGCAAATGTTTGAAGAAATTACTATTAGATTGAGACAGTTTTAAGCTTCTGGGATTCCTAAGTGGACAAGCCATGGAGACCATTTCACCTCCAAAAGTTGACACAGGCTCCAAAAGAAAACAAATTCTAAGAAAACAAAAAACAAAACAAACAAACAAAACAAACAAAAAGAACCAACCCCAAACAAAAAAAAAACCTCACTACTAAACAGAAACGTCCTGAGGACCAGTAAACAGAAAGACTTCTTTAGCCCCAGCCGGCAACTAAGCCCCACGCAGCCGCTCGCTCACTCACTCCCCCACGGTGGGACGGGGAAGAGAATCAGAAGAGTAAAAGTGAGGAAACTCATGGTTTGGGATAAAGACAGTTTAATAGGTAAAGCAAAAGCCGCACACGCAAGCAGAGCAAAACAAGGAATTCATTCACTACTCCCCATGGGCAGGCGGGTGTTCAGCCATCTCCAGGGAAGCTGGGCTCCATCACATGTAATGGTTTCTTGGGAAGATAGACACCATAACTCCAAACATCCCTCCGCCCCTTCTTCCTTCTTCACCACAGCTTCATATACCAAGCATGAGGTCATATGGCACGGAATATCCCTTTGGCCAGCCTGGGTCAGCTGTCCTGGCTGTGTCCCCTCCCAGCTTCCCCCGCCCCCCCAGCCTTCTTGCTAGCAGGCCAGCACTAGAAACTGGACTGTCCTTGACTACTTAGCAACAACACAAAACATGAGCACGTTATCAACATTTTCTCAACCCAAATCCAAAACATAGCCTCACACCAGCTTCTAAGAAGAAAATTAACTCTATCCTGGCTGAAACCAGGGCACTTTCTTGGATGGTTCCATAAGCTGAAAGCTAAGCTATCAGGGAAAGTGTCACCACATAGTTCTTAGGCTTTTCCATAGCAGGGACACTGAGGAAAATGGAGTTTTAACTTGATCATGTATGGCTGTTCTTTACATTCTTGTGACTGCCATTCGTATATAATTTCAGCCCAGGTCAGAACTTATCCTTCAGTTTCCAGTGTTTGTTTTGTTACCGTTCAGGAAACACTTCTGCTTCCAGTTTGTCCAGAAACCACTGTGGAGCCATCAGGTAGTAGATGCCATTGCCTACCAGCCTGCACTGTTTTAGTCTGCACACCAACGAACAAGGTCTCTGGAATCCATTACATTTTCCAGTAGCAGCTTTCTACGACTGCGTGATTTTGCTAACAACTTTTGGACAACTTTGAGATTATTGTCCTTGTATCAAAGTACAAAGTATCAAAGTATCCACCAGGATAGAGCAGTATAGGTTTTGAACTTCTAGGAGTCATTGCTATAGCAGAAATAAGGAAAGCAAGCCAAGTCCTTCCATCAGTGGAGATGAATCTCTGTGTAATTAAGTGATACGCTGGCTTGCAACATCTCTTGCTCTGAGACAGGAGGCAGAGTTCACCAGCACCAGCTCCAGATCACAAGCTTAGAATCCCCCTCTGTTCTAAAAGGAGTGATCCAACCTCTTCATCACTGCAACCTCAGGATATACAGGGCGCATTCATAGCAACGCAGTGCACAGATTCAAGCCCCCCACCACGTTCCCCACATTCATACCTCTGTTTCAGGCCGAGGAATAAATACTGGGGGTCTCATCTTCAGAGTCAGGTCCTGAAAGTCCCACTCACCAAGCACATACTGCACCGGCATTCTGTAGTAGGCAAAAGCAAGAGTGAACACTTCATGACTACACTCTGTAACACAGAAAAACCCTCAATACCGTGCTTACCTCATTACTAACCACATAGCCCTTCTAAGGGTGGGCATCTAGACACCCCTAAGGCTCTCAATCAAACGCGCACTCTAAGGGAGCTGTGGGAGCTCCATTCCCACAACAGAGTTTGTTATCAAGCACAGGACCCACAGAACTACAGGCCAGTCAGCCTCACCTCACTACTGGGGCAAGCAACAGAACAAATAGTCCTGGAGGTTGTTTGCAACCATACTAAGTTACAGGAAGGTGACTGGGAGTAGTCAGCATGGATGTACAAAGAGGAAATCATTCCTGACCAACTTGATAGCCACCCATGACACATGACTAGCTTGGTAGAGAGAAGAGAGTAATCAATACTGTTTATCTAGACTTACCTAAGGGTTTTAATAATGTCTCCCATAACATCTTCATATACAAGCTAATTAAGTATGGACTAGATAAATGAGGTGGACTGAAAATTGGCTGAACTGGCAGGCTCAGAGGGCTGTGCTCAGCAGCACAAAGCCCAGCTGAAGGCCAGTCATTAGTGGAGCGCCCCGGGGGTCAATCTCACATAAAATCTTCGTTAATGATCTGGAAAAAGGGACAGAGAGCACCCTTGACATGTTTGTAGATGACAGAAAATTGTGAGAAGTGGCTAATAGACCGGATGGGTGTGCTACCTTTCAGAAGGATGTCTGGAGGCTGAAGAGATGGGCTGACAGGAACCTCATGAAAATCAGCAAAGGGTAAGGCCAAGTCCTACAAACTGAGGAGGAATAACCCCGTGCACCAGTACAGGCTGGGGGCCAACCAGCTGGACAGCGGCCTTGCAGAAAAGGCCCTGGGGATTGGGTAGACAAGTTGACTGTGAGCCAGCATCGTGCCCTTGCAGCAAAAAGGCCAATGGCTTCCTGGGCGGCATTAGGCAGACCATTGCCAGAAGGTCAAGGGAGGGGATCCTTCCCCTCTATTCAGCACTGGTAGGAAACATCTGGAGTGCTGGGCTCCCAGTACAGGAGAGACATGGACATAGTGGAGTAAGTCCAACAAATGGCCATTAAGATGATTAAGAGATTGGAGCATCTGACGTAGAAGGAGGGACTGAGAGCTGGGACAGTTTAGCCTTGAGAAGGGAAGGCTCAGGCTGGAGGAGCAGGGGAGGGAAATCTCATCAATAACCATATTTATCTGGTGGAATGGAATAAAGAAGATGGAGCCTGACTCTTTTCAGTGGTATCCAGTAAAAAGACAGGCAAAGGGCACAGACTGAAATACAGAAAATTCCATTTAAACCCAAGAACTACTCTTTTTTTTGCCCCTTTTTTTTTTTTAACACTGTGAGGGTGGTCAAACACTGGAACAGGCTGTCCAGAGAGGTTACATAGCATCTGTCTTTGGATGTACTAAAAACTGAATTGGGCATGGCTCTGAGCAACTTGTTCTAGTTGATCCTGCTTTGAGCAAGGGGGGTAGACTGGATTTCCAGAGGTCCCTGCCAACTTTCATGATTCTGTGAATTTTGAGGACATGTTTTCAGCTGCTCTGAGGCACCATACCTCATTTCCTCATGTAGAACAGCACATACTCATTGTAACCTTAACAGTATTTAAGACAGAGCAACATGCAAGTTAGCTCTGAGATTTTGCATTTCTGTTCCTAACACAAGACTCAAAAGCAGCAGGACAATTTCAGGGAAGACACTCAGATCCTACAAACAGTAACTGCTGGGGACTCCCTGGGAAACACTCACATCCCATTCTGCATAAATCATGGCAGGATTAATCCGCACAGCAAAACGAGGATCCACATCATAACTACACTTATGTAAACAAGCAGGAGGATGCTACCTCCAAACATGCTCCCAGGCATCTCCCACCCTTCTAAATGATCCAAGTTCCTGAATATTTCCTCTCCCCACACACTACTCCCTAGGCCCAGCCTGAATCCAAGTAGCTCCTTCACACCAAACCCATGTAATTTTTGCGATGAGAACCCCGCACACAGAGCAAGCAAATGGAGGCCAAATGGAGACCAAAGCTACAGCAGCCATGGATACCTCAAACCATCACAGAAATCCCCTTGCAGGCAAAGCCTAGAAAGGAAAGCACAGCAACACTGCAGACCAGTATAGGACTGGCAGCTGAAGTGAGTGCTGAATCAGACAGAAGGGGCCAAGGCTAAATTTTGTAAGCACAGAAGGACTTAATGAAAATGTACCCAACTCAGAATCATTATTGCCAGTTTCCTGCTCCTCCGCAACATCCTTTGAACTCTCTTTGCTCCCAGACAGGACAGGCAGGTGATTTGCTACCTGACAGCAAATGCCCATCACTTGAGTCACAGCACTGTTACTTGACATGTCAGCTGCTAATGGTCTTCTGCCTCCTCTCTGCTACCATTCTTCTGGCTGCATTAGGACTGAAGGAAAACCCTACAAAGGAACAACTGTAAGAGGATGCTCCTACCTTTCTAGTCGCTTGTTGCTTAGCTGCTGGATTTGCTCCTGCTGCACTGCTGTAAGTGGAGTGTGGAGGCTTTTGGAGCTCAAGCTCTGAAACTGAAGACAAAGTCACTTTAAAACCTGCGCACTTGGGTGTCCCCTGCACCCTCCCAAGGGCATCCTCCAGGGAGACCCAGCGTGCTGACAAACACAGATGCCTGGGACTGCTGGAAACCGCAAACCACCTGCAGAACCTATCTGCAGGTTTAAAAACAAACCTGTACAAATGTTCTGCTGCTTTTCGGGGCTCAAGAACAGGCAGAATTAAGACTCATTCCACCAACCAAGTCAGGGTACAGTGTAAGTGTATATGTCATGGGCTACGTTTCAGGCCCTGCAAAAGGAGGCCTTTAAGGGACCCTAAGTGCTCTACTGGCAATAATAAACTATGCCTTATAGGGAAAGTTGTTCTAATTCCCACAAGTGAGATAAAAAGATAGGTAAGGGATTCAACCAAAATGACGAAGTGAGAGGCACACACAGACCTTGTTCCTTTCCTATTACTTAACTGTTTTTGCTCCCAGGACAAATGACACAATATATTCACTGGATTCTCGTGCTTCAGGGATCCCATTTGTCTCAAACACCTTCTGCCAGTAGTTGACCACATCTGTCGCAGTCACGAGCCCAGGTCTTGCACTGCAGCTCTGCCTCAGAGATGACTGCTTGGGACTGAGGACAGGACCTTTAGTTTGACTCAATCTCCCTGGCACACACTGAGGCGAGAGACCCAGCAACCTCTTGAGCAGTGGGTGGGTGAGGCATCTCATTGTTGCGAAGTCAGTTCCTGGCTTCCACATGTGTTCCTTGTTACCATCAGCTGATCTGGTCAGTGCTGAAACTCACAGCACACTTGGTGCTACCACAAGCCACTGTGGCAAAGCACTGACTAACCACAGTCAGTGGATTCTTCTCAGGGCAGCATGAGAACGGCACTGGTTTGCAGCTCTTCTTGTCTAGAAAAGGAGGCAAGAGCACAGCCTGAATCCCTCAGGCTAGCAAATCACAGGTTCCCCTCTGACAGAATGCAGGTGGCTTGCCCTAATCCCAGCCCACAGGTACAAAACCCGTTACTCACACCCTGAGAGTAACAAAGGATTATCCCAAGAAAAGACTCAGGTGACACCTAACCAGCTCTGCCACTGCAATCCACTTCGCACAGCTGCCCATCTTCACAGGCTACTAGGCAGCCAGTCCACGCCCACGGCAGGGCAGAAGCAAGCATGCCTATACACAGGCACAGCACTCCTGCCTGTCCTTGGTCCCAGAAAGCCACAGTCACACTGGGTCTCCACCCAATGGGAGGTAACCCTGGTTCCCTGCAGGAAGACCTTCAGCGTCTCCTAGATTCTTTTATTCCTCTCTCTGTTCATAAACTACGAGTCCTAGGTTAGCCGGCGTGCTCACAGAAAACTCCATGGGTCAAGGGTCTTCCACACTGCCACCATCCCCAGAGAGCAGACAAGGGGGTGCAGAGCCAGGGCTGAGCTGCTAGGAGCAGGGGAAGGAGAAAAGCTCCCAAGATACAACCAGAGGGAATAGAAACACTTGAAAGATGCAAAGGCCAGAAAAGGCAAACCTTGCCAAAGGGAAGTCAGTCTCATGAAGAAAAGAACAGGCAGAGCCAGACAGGGAGGGAAGAAAAACAAACAAGATGATTGCAGGAGACAAAGGAGATGAAACTTTACAAAACAGCTGCTACATATCACACTTGGAATTGTGCTTTAATGGAGACAAATAGAACAACCACCCCACTTTCCTGCTGCGATCCATCAGGAATAAGGGACGCCTCCCTTCTGACTCACAGTCCCTGGAGCCACTGTGGGTTTCCCCAAGTGCCCATTCCCATTCCTCTATTGATGGCTGCTTTTCATCACTGTCTCAGAGAGGCCACAACCTCCCCTACTCCAGTTCCTCCAGAAAACCACCACACAAACAACTAAATACCTCTCCCAACCAGGCGACAGCCCCCAGGGTGGGTGGCTCACTGCTCTGCAGGAGTGCTGCTGCAGGGAGATCTGGGGAGGCTGGGTCAGCTCCCACCTGGGAAGATGCTGGCACTGATCACCTGCAGCAGCTCCGAGCCCTGCTGCATGGGGCACCTGCAGCTTGGGGCCTGCCTGGCTCTTGCTGCACAGTGAAACTGTGTGAAAAGTCAGGCCTCCACTGCCCTCCTTTGCAAAAACCAAACCAAACAGAGCCCAGGGAAGCCACAGAGGGAATACCCTGCAGCAAAGACCTCCAGATTGGCTTACTTGCTACCTCCCGGCAAAGGGGTAGGTGCTCTAGGAGCCCAAGGGTCCCTTTCTTATCATCTTCATTATAGCCAGCAGAGAGAAAAGAAGTTCCTGTGAAATCCTGCCTTTACGTTATGCATAAGCAGTCTGACAGCTAGTCTTTACCTCAGCAGCTCCCCACCCCAAGGCCCTGTTTTGAGGATACTGCCACAAGATGAACACTAAAGGAATAAACTATAACCATTAGTGCTGTTAGGGAGGAAGATAAGACTTTAACTGGCCATGGCTGGAACAATGCTGCCAGTACTGTCATTATTACTAAAGGAGACCAGCTACTGATGTGAGGTCCCTGCCAAGAACGGTCCCTGCATACTACTACTTGGTGCAAATACCTGTTTGCACACAGGTAGGGAACAGATTTATTTTTCTTCCTGCAGTTCTGTAGTTTGGTCCATTCAACCCCCAGCTTCTCACTCACTGTAGTCCAACACCTACACTGGTGGCCTTTGAAAGGCACGGCCTGTCCCACTCTTGGCCCCTGCCCTACATACCCTGCCTCACTCACAGGCTCGGGCAGGAGCTGGGGCTTGGCCGTACAAGTCGACAGCTTTCTGCTGCTGGGCTAGTGGTCAGCTGAACCGGCCCCCGCACAGCCCCGTTGGCCGCACCGGGGAAGG